TCTCTCCCCCAGCCCCCCCACTACTGTCCTCTATATCCGCACTATAGCCCCACAGTAAGGGTTAAGAAAAAGCTTTTCTGTAAACAGCCGTGTGGCTCGCACTGGAGGGCAGCGTTTTTTTCCTGCTCCTTTATTGCATTTGGGAAAACAAAACAAGAAGAAAAACTGCTTTGGCGTCTTCAATGCAAATTCATGCGCTAATATTAGAATGGCCATTGTTACACCAGCAGGAATGTCAATGTTTGCTGGCAAGGGAGACTCCTAACCTTCACACTGCCTGTAAGACATTCATTGTGTATGACCCGGTACAGCTACATCTGAAGCTGCTGGTCATAGACCACAGAACAATGGCCTGGACTCTTGGTACAGATGTTTTCATTGCAATGTAAACATCTGTATTTCTGTCTATGTCCTTTATATCAGAGCTGGATAAATCCCAGGAGCCAGGTCGCCACCGCTCCGCTAAAAATGACAGCTGGCGCCTAACTTTTGAGATTTTCTCTAGTTGTTGTAAATAAATAAAACAATCCTGCTGGCTCTTGGATTGGACAGACTGGCTCATGAATTCCATATTAAATTGTCCACCCCCGTATTAGAGATTTATCCTCATTCCCTGTCTAGTGAAACAGTTGCCAGCAGAACAGGAAGCAAGGAAAAATCTCATGGAGTCTTAGAAAGCAGTAAAACTGTATTGGGGTTCGAACCTTTCTCCACTGTATCCAAAACTTGAAGAGGTTTTGGCTGGACATACACGTGTATACACGGCAGTGGCGTAACAACCGGGGGTGCAGCAGGGGCGCGGGCACCGGGCGAAAAGTGAAGGGGGGGCGCCGGCCGAAAATGGCACTTTCGGCTAAATGCAGAAAGTGACATTTTCCTTCCGTTTTGTCGGCGCGGCCGTGATTCCTTTCATCCCCGCTGGGACACAGAGCAGTGCCCAGCAGGGATGAAAGGAATCAGAGAGAAAATGACAGCCGGCCGAGCGCTGCGGGACGAGCGCTGTGAGCGGCCGGTGTCTTTCCTCCCACACCGCTCGGCCGCCTATCACAGTGCAGCAGAGCGGTGTGGGGGCGGAGACAGCGCTGTCACAGGAGGCTGGGCTCTCCTCTTGCAGCCTCCTATGACAGTGTGTGTCAGAAAGGAGAACGGGTACAAGCACTCAGCGATCAGTGATCGCTGAGTGTTTGTACATAATTGAGGACCTGGTATGTATACTATATCCTCAATTATGAATGAATGGGAGTGATCTACATCTCCTCCTGTTCATTCATAATTGTAGTTATAGTAAACATACCATGTTATCAATGAACAGGAACACTCATAAAGGATTCCTGTTCATTGATAACAGGGGACACAGAAAAAGAGATTGAGGACTCTGTGTCCTCAATCTCTTTTTCTATTTTTAAAGGGAAATATCAGGGGTCTGTTTAGACCCCCAATATTTCCCCGAAGCCCCTAAAAGTAAAGTAAAAAATAAAAATATTTAATAAAAAATTAATTAATAAATAAAAATTGATTTAAAAAAATGAAAAAGTTTCAAAAAAAATAAAATATTAAAATTTGAAAAATTAAAATAAAAACATGTGTGTGTGGGGGGGAGGTGCAGGGTACAGTTCCAGTGGTTGTTTATATAATGGGGGTGGGGGGGGCGAAAAAAAATTTCTGCCCCGGGCGCCCAGAACTCTGGTTACGCCACTGATACACGGCATCAAATCTCACATTCAGCAAACATTCTTCAGGTGAATCTTCCAGGTGCATGTTTTTTCTAAATGTCAGTGATTGATTCTCCACCAGGGAATGTTTGTTTAAAGTCACATTAACTGCTTTTTATAGTTCTATGCATGGTGGCACTCTGAAGAGCTCCGGCATCTCGTAATACTTTTGTTTTCTTTTTTTTTTTTTTTTTTATTTATTATTCAACTTTGTAATTTCCATTCCAAAGCTTTTAAAATGAGGGAATACTAGTTGGAAATAGGACAAAGCTCAGACAAAAGAGGGTTATTCTGCTTTATAGCCTTTGGACCTGGGATATGGGGCCTTGTTGTGGTTGAACAGATCTTGGTTGGTGAGTCTTTCACAAACAAGCTGGTCAGCTGAGCATAGCGGCACTCTTCTGCCTCTGGAAACATTTCCTATATTTAGATTGCACTGTTCTGTTAGGAA